GATCTATAAGAATTTATTATTATTAGCTCATCGATGCAGTCGAGTGGATTTTATCATTTTTAAACACCTCCTGTGTCCAAAATTTGTATTATGTATTATTTACTTTAAAAAAAACATATTAAATACCTGTAGAGCATAAATAACATTACAGTTATTTCACTGAAAACGTTGGGATATTCCAGCAAGAGGGAACTTCAGGCTGCACCTACGGTGCTACAGCTGCTGCTAGCGTACCTGCAAACCAAACTCTATGTAAATAACTGCATTCAGATATTTATGGCATGGTAAAAGTTTATATAAAAAAAGTTTTTGCATTGAGTTCTGAAACTGTGGAGGTGGAGCTGTTTTAAACCAGGAGACTGCATTCAGACCATTAGCTCATCAGTCCTGTCAGATTAAACCAGGTTCTTCAAAGTCCAATCAACAACAAAGTTTGATAATATTTGTTTATAATTAAAGTTTAAAGTTTGTGTTATAATTATCAGGCTGTATATTTGTTGTTTCCTGAGCAACTTGCCGACTCGTCACTCAGAACCCATCATCAAGCTGCCAAATCATCTCAGATTATACTTTGAACAGGCAGATTATCTCGTCACCGCAGGTCCAAAGACTGAGTACAGATATGTCTGCTGCCCTGCAGGACTTTCCCTGGCTTTGCCCTCTTCATCTCTCCTCCTCCTCATCCTCGGTGGTTTTAGTCAGTGTGTGATGAGAAGCAAACAATTCTGCATGAAAGTTTTTTTTCAGTTTGGCGTTTTACTGTAAAGTAATCCTGACAGAGGCAAAAATGAGCTCTTGAATCACAAAATATCCTGAGATCATTTAAATGCAAATTTATCTACTTTGCTTTATACGTTTTTACCTTCCTGCTTCACAAAATCGGAGCTGTGAGGTGACTAAACTCTGAAAGGCTCAATGTGTTTCGATTGTTACGTTTAAGGGTTGTTTGAATCTTCACTGTTGTGGCAGCAGATCCATTATCGGTGTCGTCCATGAAGCACTCTTGGAAAATAAAATGATGAGAGAAAACCGTGGACTTGACAAAAATCGTTTCTTTGAAAAATGTCAACAAGCAAAAATACAAAAAAAAAAACCCGAAACTAAAGATTCCTTTTCTCCATCTTTTCCATTGTATTTCAAGTAGCACACGGCTAGCACTGTTAGCAAACTGTATGGGCAGAGTTGTAAAGTATCTAAGTACAAATACTTTGTTACTGTACTTAAGTAGAAATTTTGGTTATCTGTATTTTACTTGAGTAATTATTTTTCATTAGTTTTTACTTTTTCTCATTACATTTTTACACAATTATCTGTACTTTCTACTCAAAAAAAAGGTCAGAAGTAGGAAGTCGTTACTCCTGTTTTATTCTGAGTTGTTATTACTTAAAAAAATACTATCCTGATAAATTGTGTCTCCTGGATAGAGTGAATTTAATTGTGGTTGGATGAGATGTATAAATATTTACCATTCTGACACCTTTACTTTTGATACTTGAATACAAAAAATATCAGATACTTTAAGACTTTTACTCAAGTAATACTGTATATTTATAGAAGACCTTAACATTTACCAAAGTATTTTTATGATAATACCTTTACTCAAGTATCACTTTGAGGTACTTTATACAACACTGTGCATGGTTCAGAGTTTTTTTTTTTTACTTGGATCAAGGCTTTACAGGATGTAACACTTTCAAAATAAAATTTGAATTTCACAACAATGTCACTTAAAATGCCTGTGACATTAAATTATTGTAATAAATGTATTTTTTTTAAAAGAGAACATTGATAACGTTAGAAAATGTGTTTTATGTCAAGTTTTTTAAACGTTCTTTGATATTTTGTGTTTGAATGTTATGCATGTCACAGAAACTTTAAATTCTTGTTTACCTTACCGCAAATGGCAAAGATAAAGATGAAAAATATTGATACAAAAATAAACTTTAATGATCGTTCTTTATGGCTCTAACATTTAATTTGGTGCAACCTTCACTTTCTGYCAAAATGTTGCTTTCATCCACACAGGAAGTACGTACCATGATTAGGATGTAAATTAAATATTGTCAGATACTGATGCATGAATYAGCTCAGAAGGACAGAATGTTTGCTGAATATTTGCATCCTTGAGTTTGTTGATTTTTATCTTCCTCTGCAGGAAAGTGGATGTTTCTTAAAGGGATCCCTGATTAGTTGTAACATTAGACTTTATTTGATAAACATTTATTTTAACTGTAAAATAAAGAGTAAAATTAAAGAGTCAGCTAGCGCTGACTTTTATGTATTAGCTCTGCGCTAGCG